GGAGAGGTCTTGAGTTAGAAAAATGAGGTCCCAAGGGCTGTAGTTGTTCCATGTGTGAGATATATAGGTCTTAATGGATTAAGACCTTGGATTAAGAGCCTATGGACGTCCCAAGTGATAAAGTTTAAGACTTTATGGATTCTAATCATATTTGGCCTAGGGATCTGAAGTTTGGGCTTAAGAGCTTAAGCCATTAAGAGGTTAGAAAGACTTAATGAATCTCGCAGTTACGCCCCGCGTAGCGAGCCAGTGCCCCATTTTCTTTTGGTGATCATTGTAGTACGCCTAACGTACCAAGGAGGGTACGCCTAACGTACTCCTCCTATGGACTTTAATTTTTGGGCCTTTTGAGTTTGGGCCATTTGTGGGTTGTTATTGTTTGGACCGAGTCTGGAAATTATGAATAGAGTATTTGGGGCTCAATTAATGTTATGGACATTGGATCTAGGCCTATTTGGAGAGGTGGGCCCAATTTGGTAAATTGGGCCAATGTTGGACTTTATGTGAGATTTGGACTTTGGTCTTGGCCCGATAAGTGGAAGTATGTTTGACCTAATGACTATGCTTGTTATGTTGGTTAGTTCGGGATTTGCGGTGAGGTGGTGGTTCGAGAGTCTGCTTCTTCAGTTCAGAGTATCGGCATTCGCGAGGTGAGTTATCCTCACTATATCGACAGGGTCTAAGGCACCAAGGCCGTCCCTTTATTGGATTGAGATTCGGATATGGTTGTTATGTTATTGCTTTGATATGTCTGCATCCTGGTAGCTAGGATGGTATATGCTAGAGACCTGGTTAAGGTCGATTTCCTGATATGTAGATTGATGTTATGCTAGTGACCGGTTAGGTCAGTATCCTGGTTAGGGTAATGATATGTTTTGTGATCTCTTTGATCAGTTTGTGGATTATGAAATGTTATATGATTGTATGTTATGTGCACGTGGTTGTTTGGACTGGAGTTGGGTTGAGGCGGGTCCTGCTTTATGCTATAGGCCAAGATACCCAGGGCGGACCGGTTGTTCCGAAGGCCCAGCGAGCGGTCCGGATAGGCTGTAGGCCCCATGAGGGCTGACCAGAGATGCCGAGGCTCGGAGAGTGGACTAGGCCGACTGAAGGCCCGATGCGGGCGGACCAGTCATACTGTAGACTCAGAGAGTGGACCAGGTAGGTTGAAGGCCCGGTACGGGTGGACCAACCACACTGCAGACTCGAAGGACATGACTAGACACGGAGGGTGGACTGAAGGCCGATACGGCGGACCAGTCACACAGTAGGCCCGATATGCATGGCTGTTCCATGTTCTGTTTTGTTATGTATGCTATTTATGTTATGGGTCGGAAGGCAATCTGTTATGGGCCAGAAGGCAATATGTTTTGGACCGGAAGGTCGTATCCTGGAAGGGCGTATATGTGGTTGGTATTTTGGGGGTATCTCACTAAGCTTTCGGGCTTACAGTTGTGGTTTAAATGTTTTTTTTCAGGTTCTTCAGGAAATCGTGGCAAGGCGAAGGCGTGATCGTACCGCTCCTCGTGTTTATGTTTATGGCATGATTCTGGGAATACTCTGATAATAAATGTACTGAAAACCTGTTTGTAATAACGTTATTAAAATGGATTGCTTTTGAAAAGTTTAAATTGTGTTGAAATTTTTGGTCGTTACAAAGAGAGTATATGTTGCCTTTGGTCTCTTTCGAATTGATCCTTAGGGTTTATCTTTGAACTCCAGAGCTTCAGAAACCTTTAATTTGCAGCTAGGCTGCCAAAGGATCTAGAAGAAGTCTTTGTCTCGAGCTAATATGTCATATATATAGTTTTCTGTGAGATATGATTTGTTTTGGGACGAATTGGAGTTATCGTGTAGAGCCTTGAGGAAGGTACATGTAGGTGTGGAAGGTAGTATTGGGCTCGTACTACTGAAAGCACATGATGTGTACCCAAACCAATGTTATATTTGAAAGCTCTTAGGAGGACCGGTGTGGGAAGATCCCCTCCATGGACATCCTGATCGTTATGTTTTATGGTGTTGTAGAGCATTATGGTGGTGACACGATGTGGAGTAGGAGGATCAGGATCGGGGTCAGGATCCGGGTCTGGGTCAGCTGATACTACTGAGCCCATTGACGAGAGGTTGCGTGAGCTCATCGCCGCGGAGGTTACTAGGGGCATCCTTGACGACACCCTAGTTATCTTTGGGACAGTCAAGGAGGGTATGATGGCGATTAGGGAGGAGAGGCTCAGGGCATTCTGAGCCAAGATTGTTCGGGCCAAGTCAAGGCCCGAACTCCCTCGTTTCAGAATTCATGGCATGTAGGGTGCCGAAGTTTTTTGGGATCAGGGACCCCATGGTTAGCCGATATTGGGTGGCACATATTGAGAACACCCAACGCATGAGTTCTTGACCTAATGTGGCAAGGGTGGGTTTTGCTTCATGTATGCTGAGAGACAGAGCCCGAGACTAGTAAGGAGAGGTGACTAGCTAGGTGGGAGCAGCCGGTCTTGCTGAGATGACATGGGCTGAGTTTGTTTGGCGATTCGATGCGGATTTTGCACCACCTATTGAGGTGTAATGACTTGTGAGGGAGTTTCATGACCTTCAGCAGACTACCAAGACTGTGGCGGAGATCACCGCTAGGTTTCGGGAACGAGCGTTTTTGATCCCACAATATGCTATAGATGAGGACATGAGGAGGACGAGGTATCATTCCACGCTGAGGGATTATATTCTAGAGTTTGTGAGCTTCACAGGGACATACAACAATAGGCTAGGCTAAAAAACCTAAGACCTTGGATTCCTCTAGTAGGGGCCATCAGGGCCGTGGCCAATGTACCAAGTGCGGTAAACCGCACAGTGAGGCTTGTCGGATAGCAGGCTCGGGTTGTTATGTGTGTGGCCTGCCGGTTCACTTGAGTAGGGACTACCTTAAGAAGGGCTTGATTTGTTTTCACTGCAACCAGAACGGCCATAAGCAAGCCGACTGCCCGAAGTTACAGGGAGGGGGAGGAGCAGTGGCGGTGCCTGCGCTCGTCACACTGAGGATCACAGATGGTCGTCGTGCTAAGGTGGATGCTCCAGCAGTGAAGAGTCGCGCATTTCAGTTGACCACCGAGGAGGGTCGGGCAGAGCCAGATGTTGTGGATGGTACGTATTCTATTCTTACACACCATATCTATTTGCATTGCTTATGTGTGTGTTCTACTTATATATAGGGACCCTTTTTGGTCAATGGTATGTCTGCTCACGTTTTGTTCGATTCGGGAGCTACCCGATTGTTTGTGTCTCTTGCGCTTAGCAAGAAGTTTCGGGATGTGCCAAGAACTTTGGATACCCCACTTGAGGTAGAGATTATGGACGACCGCACCGTGAGTGCGGAAAGGGTGTACCGGGACTGTGTCCTGAATATTCTTGGGGAGAGGTTTCATGTTGATTTGGTCCCGATATCATCGCGAGGAATGAAGGTGATTATTGGGATGGGCTGGTTGGGGGCCAACAGGGCCATGATCGATTGCGAGCGCCAGTTAGTGAAGGTTCGACCCCCAAGTGGGGGAGAACTGGTTATTCAAGGTAAGAGGGCCTTTCAGGGACCGAACTACTGCTCAACTATGAGAGCTAGGAGAATTCTGCAGCAAGGTTGTACGGGATTTCTGGCATACATCTCAAATACGGCGGTCAAGACCATCACAGATATGGATAGTGTGCCGGTTGTACAGGAGTTTTGGGATATCTTTCCCGAGGAGTTATCGGGATTGCCTACAGAGAGGCAAGTGGAGTTTCGTATTGATTTGGTGTCGGGTGCTACTTCGATAGCGAAGGCACCATACTGGCTAGCACCGCCCGAGATGCAGGCGTTATCTATGCAGCTTTAGGAGCT